TGCTAATATCAGGTGACTCACTGCCTGGAAAGGAGCTATTTCTCTCAATTTCCAGGTTTTTCTTTTACACAGGGAGCCTAGAGGAAGGTTTTAAATACAGGAGTTTACATTTTAGATGTTTGAGCATCTCTCTTGAAGACCCGTGTGCTTTGCCCAAGTCACCTCTGAGAACCCAAAAATGTATTTACCTTGTTCTTACAGAACAGTTCCAAGAGGAATTTGCTAATAGGGCACACTCACACTCTTATTCTGATGGATTTGGGCACACAGAGTGACACCATAATGTACCCAACATCAACCTTGTGAACTTACATATCCACTCAGAGAATAACTTCAGCCCAAGTGCTGAGCTGGGTGTCTCTCTGCTGCCTGTGTGGACACTGTATGGGAGCTGTGGTTTTAAGGGAATTTTCAAAAATTCCGCTAAAAATTTAAAGCCTCATCACAAATGCTCTCCCTGCACCCTGAGGGTGGGTCTGGCAACATTTAAACTTACAATCACATTTAAAAAAGGGTTTTTTTGCTTTAAGTGAGTTTTCATTCATGATTTTGATGATTCATAGAGCTGCAATTCTATCACTTCTGCAACAAGCTGTGAAAAGAAATCCCTTGAAGTCTAGACAATGGAAAACAGTTTGTTTTCTGGCTATATAGGCAGTGCTAAACACAGAATCAAAGTTTACCTTATATGAAGCCTTGGGTAAGTTTTTTTTTTTTAATCTAGAAGTACAAAGAGACTTTGCACACTTAGTTTAGAAAACTTGACTTCTCCCCGATTTTCTGCTCCCCTGTTAATTAGGCATCTGCTGCAAGAATTGCACGAACAAAAATGGTGCAGTCTGTACCCATGTCTGTCTGGAGCTTTATCCCAGCCCTAATGTCCTTTGATTTGCATGGCATGTACCTGTGCTCACACAGGGTGGCTGCATCCTTCAGCTCCACAGCTGATGTCAGGGTGAGGGAAAGGAGAGGTGTTAGGGGGAAGTGGTAGGACCAAATGCAACATTTGTGTACAGGTGAGAGGAACTGAGAACTGCACTGCACACTGAACAGCTCCCACTGTCAACACAGGAAGCACAAATGACAAGATGTAACCATGTAACCAAGGCAGTGGCAGCATTATTTAGAATTCTGACTTTGTGATTATACACTGGATGTGACACCATTGTGAAACCCTCCTGTTGGGTTCACATCTGTGATCAGTGTTGTTACCAGTAAAACTTTCAAGAAATAGGCATTAAGAAAAATATTAAAATTGCAATTTAAATTAATTTTAATAAAATAATCAAATCTGTAGCACTTATTTGGAAAAAAACCCCAACAAACCCAACCCAGAAACAAGCAAACAAAAACTCCAAACCCACACAACATTCCAAAATAAGAGCTGACATTAAAACATTCTGCAACTGTAGATTTACAAGCTCATGAAGCAGAGTTATGGTAAGATCTTACCAAGTCATGAAAGGAGTCCCACTACCACATGAGACTATCCAGAGACTCATCTCCAACAGGTTCTCATTTCAGTTTTGTAATCTGGCTACCACTTGATTTTATGTGAGGGTACTTCAGGATATATGGTGTAGCCACATACATGGCTTAGCATATGGTATAGGCTAAGTCTAATCAAGTATTTCCACAGAAAGCTTTTGATAGGAAGAGTCACCACTTCATTTTGAGCACAACTCCATGGTTTTTATATAAACAGAATATTTGGCCAGTAATAAATACTATTTTCAGAACCTATTGCAAATACAAGCAGTAAAAATCAAGAAGCAAATTATGATTTAAGTATTTAGATTCCCAAATGCTGTAAGCTGCACTCCCTTCTCTCTGAAGAACTGAGCTAAGTGATAACATTCTAGTGATAATAATTGTGCTGCTGCTCAACCTCCTGCTTCCACACTGCTCCAGGAACAAGAACAGAAGAAACTCTCTATCATCAGGGATCAAACTATGACCCACCTGCTGAAATGAGAATGCTGAAGAGCACAAGCATTCCACTTGGCTCTGGACCATTGTGCTTCTTCAAACACAAAGCACTGATGTTACTCATGCCCTGGGGAACCGAGCAGTTGGATGTCAGCACAGCTGAACACGTGAAAACCTGAGTTTCTACTGCTGGTGAGCATCTGTCAGACATACAACTTTACTGAGGGGCACACCAAGGGGCTGCATTAATCATTCCAACCCTGAAAATTGATTGCAAGACCTCTTGCACTTGATTGACATGTGAGCAAAGAATATTTAGCAGCAAATAGCACTGTGTTTGCAGTTCTCACTGTACGATTCATTTTCCCTTTTAAAGATAAGATAATTGCTTGTAAATTATTCCAAAGTATCTCCTTCTGTGATTTTGGCAATATAGGTGCACAATAATTTGGTAGTTAATCCAAATTCTTGTATGTCCAAACACACAGTTATAGTATTATTCTCCTTCTCTGTACCACTATTAATAAAGACCTATTCAACCCCCCCAAATTATTATTAGAATGCTGTTAAAAAGACTTGATACTTTAGGCATGGTTAAGAATCATTACTTATTACCCCATTTTGGTAAAGGAAAAGCTTGGACCGAGCTCTTCTAAAACTCTGTTCCCCTCTGTGTCCTGAAAGAAAAGATATAAACTGAGAAACAGAATCAGCACAGTCATGTTGATCAGTTTGGAGCAGCCTCTCCCCCCCTCTGTTACTCCCTTGTGGAGCAGGCACACTGTAAGAGAGCACAGGTTCTGCAAGGGGATGTCTCAAGTGTATTGCAAATTGCCAGCACACTTTCCCTCCCTGATGCAATCCTGTTTACCCAGCACTGACTTTCTCTTAAAGTTTCTATTAAATGGTTTGGTTTCAGTAACCCAAATTTAAAGGAAGGATAATCCTCAATGAAAGCTTCCAAATCCCACAAAAATGGATTATTCCCAGCAGGCCTCTTTCAACTACACCATTCTTCCATGGGCTAGGTAATACACCTAGTTCGTCCTTTCTGTAAGGACTCAAAAATCCCACAGAAAGTGCTGTGCTTGTCAGAGATCACAGCTCATCACAAATCAGTTCCTCCAGCTCCAAGACAGAGAAAATGTTTACATTCAAAGCATGCCCTATGTCCTGTGACAGTGAGGAGGACAAACTGACTGTTAGTACAGTTGGAAAAGCAACAGTCCAGCTGTTCTCCATGTCTGCTGACAGCTCATACTGAGGAAGACTTAAAAAAACCCCAATTCAACCCAAACTGGGAACAAGTTTGCATGGGGGTAGCAGAAGAATTTCTTTAAGGACACATAAATCACAGTGTGAGACAGCGGTCTCTTTGGAAAGAGAAGCCTTTGCATTAAACCAAACCTTTCAGGAGTCTGAACTTGTAACAGTCCTTCAAACAGAAACTCAGAAAGCTCAGTAACAACTAACTACAGAACAACTTCGATGATGTGACAATAATGGCAACCAACCTTCCCCTGAAACCTCAAGTGAAGCATTTTAAGTAACTTGTGAGCAAGTCAGCTCCTCCTCTCATCCCACATCCTCCAGCATCTTTTACCCCAGCTCAAACAGCACGTTCCTAAATGACAAACTTCCAGCTTGAAGATTTTCAAGGACCATGGAAACCAACTAAATGGTGCAAGAGTAGAGAAGGATTGGAAGAACCCCACTGACCTGTGGGGTGATGAGCAGGTACCTCACCTGCCACACTTCTCAAACAGGCAGACTCTGTTAGGAGCACAGAAATAAATACACAACACACCTGAATCTGAGTGCTGGGGTAGTTTAAGGCTCAAGCTAATTTGGCTTATGGATCCTGCCCAAGGCAATTGAGTTACAAACTGCACTCCTGAGTTTAGCAGATATCTATGGGTGTTGTGTGCAAACATACTGAACCTGAATAAACTTCACCACAAAGTTTTCAAGTGCAGATGTATGTAATCTCCCTTAATTCTGCTCTTAAAAAAATTCAATTGCTCCCCCCAAATTCTAGCCTGCACACATTCTCAGAAAATAGATAAGGATTAAATACCAATCTGAAGGTTCAGAAGAAATGAACTACTTAATTAAATGAAACATAGCTTCAAACAAGCAACACTGAATCTGTTCCTCCATTAAAGAGGACTAAAAGTTTCTGCATAGAGAAAGCAGTAAATAAATACCAGAAGTACTATTAGTTAAGACATCAGACAAAAACAGATCAGATTCCTGACTTGCTATTTTTGTCTTCACATAACAACAATTCCATTTGGATGATTGAAGTTCAGCCTGCCTCAAGATAAAATACTGCTTTTAACTTGCAATGTAGTGAGGATAAAGGAAAGACTTTGGGTCTTTAAACATTTATATTACTGATGTGTATGGGCTGTTGATTGTCACTGGTCTGTTCCAAGATCCACAATTCCTTCAAGTTAAGCACAGCTGAAGACTGCTGCAGATGCATCCAAATGTAGTGTTGTTTCAATAACTTAATAGCACTTTGATGTTTGCCTTGCTGAATTCTTCACTGCTGAAGGAGGATCAGAGTCTTCAGTTGACAGCAAAAAACAAAGCAAGGCAGTTATGAAGATCACGTAACGCAGAGCTCCGAAGCCCAGAGCGGAGGTTTGCTGCAATAGGATTGTTTGCTTCTGCTCTCCTGAGAACAAGCAGCTGCTGCAGCTGCTCCCTCCTCTTCTGCATCCTCCTTCACCTCCTGGAACCCTTCTGCTTCTTGGAATGGATGTTCTAAAAGCTTCAGTACCTTTCTTACCTAGAGAGAAAACATAGCATGGTTGTTAAGAATTTAGGAAGTGAAGGCAAAATGGTATGGAGAAGAACCTCATGCCAAATAATGGGCAAGTGTATTGTATTTAATACATGAACTCCAGACAAGCCAAATGTTAAACAGATGAACAAAATACACAAGATGCAAACTGTAAAATTGTACCTGGCTGAGTTTGTATGTGTATGGAACTCAGGCTCAAATAACTTGAAATGCAAATATTAAATATAAATTCTTACATAATTTCTCAAAATAAATTAATTTTCCCATATTCTGCATGTAATGTTCCAGATGCTGAAGGTGAAAGTTGTAAATTTTAAAAGATAACATTTTCCAGAAAGGAACAAGTGTAAATTAATCCTCAACTGCCTTCCACGCCACTCTCAGGACAGTAAAAGCAGTGTACATGCTTTGTCCTGAGGTCAGCCTACAAGAGCTGGTAAAGTTCAGATTCAGAGTTTTGACTCCATTGTTTGTACTGCAGACCTTAAAATTACAGTGACAATAAAAACAATAGAGATCTCCTGAGCAGTGAATTCCCAATGCCCTTACTGCCCAAGATTCCAGACTAAATTTTGCCTGGTATAATGTCAGTCATTGACAGCACCACTACACATCCACACAAACCTAGAGAGAGAGAGCAGTAACAGCATACCTCTGAGAAATCCCCATTTTCAGCTGCTTCTATGGCATTCTGGGCAATGTAATTCCTCAAGATATATTTTGGATTGTTTGAATTCATGACTTTGACACGCTCAGTGTTCCAGGCATCAGCATTACCAACACTTTCTATTTCCTTCTGCAAACGAACTCTGAAATTAAGCAGGTGACAACGACTGGTTTTTACCAAGAACCACATGTAGAAGTGGACACATTTTCTTGTTTTGAAATACTTCATTTGCAGTTCTTAAAAAATATTACATCATCTATAATCCTCTCAGTTTATAAAATGCAGCATGACAAGAGAATAGAAAACACCACTTAGTTTAAAAGCAGTACTAGGGACAGTCAGCAGGTCCTAAACAGCTCAAGGAAGTGGTACAGCACAGCAATTCTGTTCTCCAAAGTCAGATGAAGACACAGGATATGGTCTGTTCTGCATTGCTCTGCAATGACTGACACATTCAGGTCTTGTCTTTCAAGTATTTCTATATTGTTTATTGGTTAAAGTGTTTGCTGTTCTGGTAAAAGCACAAGGATGCAATACAGCAGAGGCAGTTTGAGGTACTTTCTATCAGTAGTATTTGCTAAAGCTCTCAGCCCTGCTGGAGAACAAAATCACAGGCAGCAAGGTGAGGGAAGATCTGCCCTAATCCACACAGTACAAAAAATTAAAGCTGTATTCAGGGTTTTTTTTACAGAAGAAATCTCCTGCTAACACTTATGTTTTTAGGCTTTAGAACAGTCTGGATATTTGTTTTTCCTGGCCATGATTTCTGTTTTTACTCTTTGATTAAGAATACTTGCTTTCTATATTAACACAAATTTCAAAGGATAGAATGCTTAAAGGTCAGTCAGTTGTAGTTGCTGAGCACTTAAAAGTTCACAACTGGAATTAGTCTATGTCAGAATCAATATCAACACTGGTGAAGCACTTTTCATACTAGAGTTGATGCTAGGTGATTTCTACATCCTCACACTACTTCAAAATTTAGTAAACAAAGTAAAAAGATGACCTTGAACTTTCACAGCAACAAGGACACTGATCATGGCAGTAGATAATATTCTCCAGTTGCATGACGTCCTCACCTTCCTAATCTGTATTTGAGACTGGGTGTCTTTTGTGAGACATGCACATTATTCTCAAAATACAGAAATACAATATCAATAGTGAGATATTAATACTGAGAAACTTTACCTGTATTTCTCCAGCCATTCCTTCCAGTGTCTTTTATTTCTGCTAAGTAAATCATCTGCTGTTAACTGCTGCAGTTTGGAGAACTGTTCAATGCGTTCCAGCTCTTTATTTATATTAGCTTTTGTTCCAATTAATGCTAACAGCTGAGGGTTAGACTGAGCCAACATCAGCATCATTGACAGCTGTCTGGGAACAAAAAGAACAAAGTTAGATACTAAAGTTGAGCTGCTCATCAAGAACCATCTCCTTGCAATCAAAGTAGATACAAAAACATTCACAACAAACTGGGATTTCACTAGAGAGGTTAAGTAACAGAAATTCGTAATTAGCAAAACAACTTCTATTATAAATGATCCTAATTTTACTTTTTCTTTTATTTCTTTAACACCTACTATTTTTGCCAGTACTAATAAAAACCTAAAAGATATGGGGGAAAATACTTCATTTAAGTCCCATGAGACCAACACTGTGTTTAATTTTTTTAGTTAGCCAGTCTAAATCACAGATGAGAACTGCTTTCTGGTAATAAGTTCCAAACAATATCCAGACTACTCTGCTGCAGGTTTGACTAGGATTGCGTCTTTTAATATTTCACTGTGTTAGCTGGTGCTGTGCAATAGCTCCACCTTAGTTTGCAATACTATGCTAGCTTTTATTTTTCCTGAATTAATAACTGCAGCATAGATAAAGTAAAATAAAAACCCAAAGAGTTGCAGCATATCAAAATACAAAGTGTTTTTATTTCCTCTGTGAATGCAGTTTTAAGCAAAGGACAAAAGAAACATTTCTCCTGGCTTCCAAATAGACAACTCATTATATCAAGTTATATTGTCCTACTTTTAGTCAGCAGAGATAAGCCAGGTGCTTTGATTTCTGAGTTTATATAAAGTACTATTGAGACCTGATGTACACATCTGATATGCCTAGATCTGTGATATCCAGGTGCTGGGATTAAAAAAGAAATCAGTCAAGCACTCACTTTAATATAGTACTATTCCCCTCCAAAATGTCACATCCCTATCATGATGACTTATACCTGCTTTTCATGTTTCTCTAGTCCTGAATGCAGTGTTTAAAAAATACTGTCCCATCTCTACCATACAAGCTATCTCTGTACTGTGCTATCAACACACAGCAAAAGCTGAAAAATTTGGTGGGTTCATCCTTTGTGGAGCACTTACTTAAAGAAGGCAGGGGGAAGGGAGAGAAGTATACCCAAAATATCTTTAATTCTTTCCCCATCTGCAAAAGGTGAAAAATTGCTGCAGTCACTGCAGCAGTTGAACATGAGTTATTATTTTTCCAGGCTCAGAGTAGCTGGACTGCAGAACAAACAGGACATGGACGACACCACCTAAAGGTTATCCTGAGGCCAGAACTTCAGCACTTGAAAGTGACTTTGCTGAGAGTACACTAGCAGAACACAGCAGAATTGTAGCTCAAACCCATTTCTTCTCTAAAATACTCCCATATCACTTCATTATTTGGCACTCTCATTGCCTCAAGTTAGCAGAGACAGGGAAGGAAATGAAAAAAAAAGACCAAGCAAAAGCTCAGACAACTATAACTCAAGAGCCAACTGCTGAAAGTCAGTGCTGTGTATCATGGTGCATCTTCTCAACAGTGACATTTCCAATATCAAAATCAGTGAAATATTATATACCATGCAGAGTTCATTATGGTTATAATGAAACTAAAAGCAAAAACCAAAAGCATTTAAGCAGAGTAATACCTTGGATCCATCTGTGGTTTAAAAACAACTTTCAACTCTTCCACAGAAGCACACTGACTTGTAAGCTCTTCTAAGAAATCTTCAAATTTTGAAGGATCAATGTCTACTGAGAATGAACTCAGCAAGTAAAAAATATTTGTGAAGTCTCCAGCTGAAAAAATTAATTTTATGAGTAATGCAACTAATAAAGCAGCAGGAAAGCAGTTCCCATACCTCCTTCTATCTCCTCCCACAGCAGTACAGGTCACCATTCTAAAGAGGCAAATAAACTGTTCTGTCAGTGAGGGTGAAAATGTGAAACAGGGGCCCTGCATTAGGCAACAACTACTCCACAGCTCACAATAAGGTAATTATTTTCAGCTTTTTGTTCTTCTCCCAGATAACAATGTAGCTGCACAAGGCTACTTTCTTTTAAGGTCAAGATATAAATTTTGTTTTGATTTGATAATAGATTCTGATAGGCTATTAAATAAGCACCTTCAGTGCTGTTCACCAACCTGTGAGATGCATGGTTTCAAGCAGTTCAGACACCAGCTTGCTATCTTCTTCTAATTCCAGTTGGATTAGGCCTAGTTTTTTTCTCATCTTCTGCAAATAGTGTTTCTCAAATTCTGCATCATATTCCTCCTCCAGGATGAGTTGGCTTATTTCCAAGGGCAGCTCTGGAACTAAAGCTTCAGCAAGTTTCCCCAGGTTCCACTTGCAAATCTCAGGCTGTTTGTTGTAGGCATAGCGCCCTGTGTTATCAGAACCATTGCACACATGCTCAGGGTCATACCTACAGGAGAAGAAATGGTCAGCATTCTTCTACACACCTGGACACCAATACTGGGAGAAGTGGTACTTTTATTATTTGTCTGCTCTAGGAATTAAAAAAAATTGGAAGGAAACAATCCTTGATTCTTTTCCCAAAGCCACAGGCTACAAGAACAGTCTAACAGCTAGAGATGCTGTGAACACAGTTGCAACTACATTGACAAGAAGAATTACAGGAGAACTAAACTACCTTGATCTCCTTTGCCGTGAAGATAATTCAAAAATCTACTTTAGAATTAAAATATTAAAGCAACCATGAACACAACGATTGTCCTGTATAGTAATAACAACATATCCACATTCCAAACAGTGATGCCCCACTGACCTGTCCATAAAGCCAAAAGGGCCATAGTCAATGGTCAGTCCAACAATGCTCATGTTATCTGTATTCAGCACGCCATGGCAAAACCCCACACACTGCCACTCCGCAACCAGCCTCGCCGTGCGCCTGGTGACCTGAAAGGAAGGGCCTGGTGTTCATTTGGCACCACAACAACCTATTTCCAACACATCCATGTATTTCCTAGCCTGAACTGATGTTTCTACAGCTCCAGTGGAAGCAGATTCTGGCAGTATGCACACAAACATCTTAAGCACAGTTTGCCTCTCTCCTCCTGTTCCCCTGCCTCCCATTTCCATGTGCATCCACTTCTCCTTCCATGCTTGACTTGCCAGTCAACGGAACAGCTTTCAAATGCTCTGGGGACAGGACACTGAAATAAACTGTTTGACATCAGACTTGCATACTAGTGTAGTCATTATAGTAATATATTATTTTGCCTAATATTAATTTTAAAGAGTAACTACAGGCAGGAAATCACATCAGCAAGTGTTGTATTTTGGTTTACCTCATATGTAGGGGTGATTTACAGGGAGGCTGAAGTGCTGACACAAAAAACCTATTCAGTGCAAACAGGTTTTAGCACTGATAAACATTTGTCTCCATGTTCTGAGTGGAAATAAGGCTACAAGATTAAATGAAAGTATTGCAAGAATGATGATTTTATTTAAATGCAATTCTTCACCAAATGCATGTTTCATTAGTAATTTTCCACTGCTGAACTGAGAACTATTTGTATGGAATAAAATCACTGCATGTGCCCCATCCTTCAAATAAATAGTGTAATATTTTAAAGCAGTTCTAGTTATTTAAATACATTAACCCACCTGGCAACTACAATACTAAAAATCTACAAGTCAGAAGCTAACATGGTTTTTAAATAAAACTAGTTGCCAATACTTTACTAAATTGCTGTAGGTAAAAATTTTGTATAGCCAGTCACTAAAACTTAAATCAAATTATTTTCATAGATAAAATAATTTTTCTTCCCAAACAGCTAACAATGCACAGAAATTCAAAACAACTATTTGCTCCATCCTGCAGTGTAAATGTATTCCATTAAGGTTCAAAAAACAATCTACTAATTGTTCAATTAGATGTTTCTATGCCTTTGTGTTCAAATCCAGAATTTTTCTACCTTTAAAAAAAAAATACATTAAGTCAAGTAAAGAAGAAAAATTAGACAAATCTTGCACTGACAGGCAGTGAAAACCACAAATGATGCAATGAAACACAACCTTTTGGTCTACCTTGAGATCGATAGATAGATAGATAGACAGACTTCTATTTTTTCCAATATTCTCATGGTAGGTACTTTACACATCTTTCCTGAATGCTGATTCATGGGGCAGCTGGAAGCCAGCAGCCAGCTGCATGTGTCCAAAACTGATTACCTAGGCCATGACCCAGTAAGAGAGGCACACCCCGCAAACGGCTCTGTGCCAGGAAAATGTAAAATTTAAAAATAAAAAATCCTGGCCACCAGGGTTGGGATGAAAGCACTCCAGTGGTAAGGCAGTCCTTGTATGGATGCACTGCACTCCACCAGGGCTCTGGTGAAAAGAAATCCCCCTGATGAGAGTGCCCAAAAGCAACTAAAGCTTGGGTGACACTCAAGATGAGTATATTGATAATGAAGAGACAGCTCTCAGCAACCTCTTTAACCTTTATTATTTTTGATCAACATTTTTCTACAGATAGACAAACCAGAAGGCAAGTATGGTGTGTGTATAGATGAGACTGTCAGCTGAAGGACATGCTCATTTAAATTTAGAAAACAGCTAAAAATTATTTGAGAAGTACAGATAATGATGTCTGCTTTCTAGGCAGTGCTGTGAAACGCAATCACATGCAATGTACTTTTACTGTTTTCTCCATTTCCTCCACAGTGCAGAAAGAATGACAAAACAAGATAGAGTTGAAGTGACAGCAGTTCCCTGTAAATAGATGTGTTTGTTCAATTAAAAAAGGACTGGGGTGATTTTCAGGTGGAGGAAAGTCTGGAAAGTTTCCACTAAGGATGAGAGAAAACATGAGGAGGCAATGACAGCACAGACATGGAGTGGGGACAGGCAGTGGCACGGGGAGCACAACAAACAAAAAATGGATCTGGGGAAACAAGCAAAGGATGCTAGGAATACAGGTGGGGGGAAGGAGAAGGAAACCAGTAGTAACTGGGCCAGGAAAAGCAGCCAAAAGCAGGAAGAGGCAGGACTGGGCATACACACACATCCAACGATCCCCAAGTCCCATGATTTCTGTGCCATCAGGAAGCAAACACGCCACCACTACAGAGCTGGACACAACAGAGTGAGTGGCAAGCCACAGCTCTTCTCATCAACCCAAACTGTCCACACACAAAGGACTTGTCCAGAAGAGTTAAACTCTTTGGAACATAGTGGTGAACCAAGCCACAGCTGGCTTTGCAGAATTAATGCAAGTGTGCACAGGTTGTGGTAAAGAAAAAAAAAGGGCAAGAAACCAAACTCTGGAATGTCAGCTGTCAAGTCTGGGTTTTGACCTCTTATCAGTCTGCTATGAAAGTGCATCATGCTGCGGCCATTCCCTCAGTCCATACCAGATCATTTCAGGTTTCAAAGCACCACAACAGCTTTCACATAGACTAGTCAAGTATTAGACACTGATATTTTTTAATTACTGTTTGCTGGCTAGTTATAAAAGTGCTCAACTGCCTTTTAACATTTCAGTTCTAAAGTCTGAAGTTAAACTGATTTGCAGACAACATTCCTGTTCATAATCTGGAAAACGAGACTCAGCATCTCAGTATTTTACAAAATGATGCCTTGCAAGTAATGTCTCAGCACCATCAACTTGTCATCTGACAGTCAGAGCCAGAACTCCTTCTCCCAGTCTAAGACAGTCCCAGAAAATGGAGACAAGCCTTCAGAAGCTCCCCCAAAGCAGGGAAATCATGATTTACCATTAGGAAGGTTACACTGTTTCCACTGGTTAGATCAATATCAACACTGTTTTCATCAATAAGGTCTACTGAGAGTGCTTTCTTCAAAGAAGAGTTCAGACATTTGAGTGATACAAAGTTCTAGCTGACTCCAGTCATCTGTGCCTGCAGATGGACTTCCTGAAGACGACTGGTATGGATTTATGAAGAGAATCGGATCTTCCTTACCTCTTTGAAGAAAGCAGCATTCCTCTGAACAGTGTTGCCTGAATGAGCCTCCTGGATTTCTGGGTAGAAAGTGCTGATCACATAATCGAGCATCTGTATTCGAATGTCATTTCGGTTCACGCTGGGACCCTTGCGTCCTGTGTACTCATCAGGGGGCTTAAAAATTTCAAAAGAGCCAAACCTTTTTCAAAATAAAAACATGTTTGAGAATTATCTGATACTATTAACATAATTTGATATTGCATGTAACAAAAACATTTACTGTTGTTGCAGTAACAGCACATTATCTCCTAACATCAATTCTTAGGTGACTGAGAGAAAAGACCTGCAAGATTCCTGCACTGAACGTGTGAGGCTCAGTGACTTGGTGGAAGGAAGCTCCTACATCCACATGGACCTGAACTGACCAACCCTGCCAGTACTCAACACCAGCTCATTAAAGTTCCTTACAACTCCTCCTACTGAAAAATTTGTATCCTGCAGGTATGTAGAAGTTGTACTTATTTTAAATACTAGACTGTACATCAAGCATACCAAATATATTTTACAGCTATGTAAACACACAGGAATGCACACAAATATACACATATATATGAAAGCACATATTCCTCATACCTCACCTTCCTCTAATTTTCTGTAACCTTAGAAGAAGCAATGCAACTTCCTGAAATGCCTAATAGCTTCTGCTGGAACAGGAACCTCATACACTTCTCAGGCAGGGAAAGTACCCCCAAACTTTCACAGAACTCAGTAGAATTTTCACAGAACTTAACTTCACAGAACTTCACTTTCACAGAACTTTACATTAGAACTGGAATTAAGGACCGAGGTATAATACACCACTACTACTACTATTAAAAAGAAAAAATCATGTATTCTGTACAGGAATAAACACGAAAAATCTCTTCTCCTAAGTCTGCAGAACTTAATTCTTCTTTCTACCAGGCCAGCATTCCTAGTATTTATCTGTCTCTGTGCAAGGACAGCAGCCCATCCCATCTGCTGAGCAAGAAAAGCAGCTTTCTACAGCCCAGCAAAAGAAGTTCCAAGCCTCCAGAACAAGAAACACAAACGGTGCTGTTAGGGAAATACACTTTAGAAGACTGCTTAGTTTTAAAGGAAAAAAACCAAAACAAAACTGATCATCAAAACAGGCTCCTACCTTATAAATGTAGAGGCTATTCTCAGAACGACTGTACACCTTTCATGTTTTGGGTTCCCATCATAAAAGATGTCCCGAAGGACTCTGGAGTCGGAGGTGACGCAGGTGCCGGCGCGGGTGGTCGGGATCCCCAGGTGGAACATGGCCTCGCTGCACAGGAACTCGCGGATGCTGGAGCGCAGCACCTTCCGCCCATCCGCCTGCCTGCGCCGGGGACACACGGACAGCATGAGCCTCTGAGGCACCAACTCCTGTCTCCTCTGCAGCAGCAGAGAAATAAAAGCCTAGGAGAAACACACTCTGTCCACGGTCCCACAAAAAAGCAGTGGCAGAGGTGAAAAGCTGGACCTTCAAACTTCTGTTAAAGTTCAATTAGATGGACACACCAACTTGCAATGAAGAGCACACACAACAGAATAAACTTTCCAGGCACACATATCCCTTCTAATCATTAACTATGTTTGTTCTATTGATGCACTACTATTTCACAAATTTTTTAACATTTGGACAGCTATATCTATTTTATTGTTTATCAACTCAACGGTTTCCTCTTCATTAAATGAAATATAATGAACAATATTATTTTGAATCTTTCTGGGTAAGCAATTTAGAAATGGGGTCCTAAATATGAGCATGCACAACAGCTGCTCTAAAAAAAAATAAAAACAAAGACACAGGCAACAAACTAGCTTATTTAATAGATACCAAGCAAATGGAATAGACACAGGTGGTTCTCAGCCCACACTCCCAGCACTTCCAAAGCCACAGGCAAGCAGGAGAGCTGCCCAGGGAAGACCTACAAAGCTACCACCATAGCTGGGACTTTCACTGAGATTTCCTTAACCCTCACAGACTTGAAGAAGGCCTTCAGAAGACCACATACATGAAACTAAGGTGTTACAGAGACTGTAGGGCTGGAACAGAAAACACAGGAAATGCAAGTGGGAAAAATGATCTGAAATATTTAAAGGCTAATGTGACTAATGCAGATACCCATCCCTTGCAGGGATTTGGTCAGTATGCCATTCTGGGGACTTTCCACTATTCCCTCCTACAGCTGGGAAGAGTGGAAAGAAGGACCAGCAGAACCAAAACGCCCAAATTCAAATACCATCTGTGTGGGCAGCAATTACACACTGCTCTCCCCACTGTCATCATGGCCTGCATCCTGCCAAAGAGAGGAACCGCAGGGATTACCAGGGTTATCCTTGGAGGATAACCAGGGACAGAAATAATGTGCCACCTAAATGATGCAGTGAGATGCAGTTACACTCTTGTTTCCCATTGGAAAACTTTGCCACCTCCTGATCTGACATTTAAGCATTACACTCGCTGCTGCCAAAGGTAAACAAAAAACAAATAACCACGAGACTTAAGAGACGACCTTTGCCTCAGGGAATGACCCTCAGCACGGCTCCAGCCCCTCGCTAATGCGACCTGCGGGCCCC